ATTGAAATTTCCTAGGGATTATTTGCACTGTACTTATATAAATATTTATTTATTGTATTTAATTATTATTTTTGGTTAAAAGTTTTATTAATTTATTTATTAAACATCTTATAAAATTTATACAATGATAACACAATGATAACGTAATTTATCTAATTTACCCTACTCGAAATTCTGGTAACATTCGGTGCCATACCGAAATAATTTACTATTTTTCTTAATTTACCATCAATTTAATCGAACTCGCCCACAGCCATAGAAAACGGAATCAAGAGTATGACGTTTCGATACGCATTTTATTAATATTAATTTATCAAGAGTATGACGTTTCGATACGCATTTTATTAATATTAATTTATATTAGATCCTGATCCTGATGATGACACTCAAGGAGAGTCGAAATATAGAATATATATATATAGAGCCTTGAAATTATTTGCGAAATCTGACAGACTTACTAACACCGCATTATCAAATCTCAGAATGGTTACAGGCTCCTCGGGGAGGTATGCAGATCTGAGGTCAATTATTACTTAGTCTGATGATGTGATAAATAATAATCCAGTCAAGACGCAAAGAGGGGTTTTGAAGAAACCTCGCAGTTAATATAGAGTAAAAGTGCTCTGGTGCACTGACTCAACTTCCCTCAACATAATAATTAAACAAACGTTGAATTTTAATTTTAACAAAAAGTAACCTATAATTGGATAAAAGATTATATAAAAAGCATTATATATATTATTTTTTAAACTTTGATCAATATTTTTTACCATACTTAAGAAATAGTGTTGCTAAGTACATTATAAATAAAAATTTGAGTAAACACGAAGTCACCACAAGTTGAATAAATTTTGACAGTCGATGTATTAACAAGCGAGAGGCATCAGTAGTTAAGCGAATATATTTGGGTGTGAAAATATTTTCTCTGACTAGATTTTTTGTTGTCCTTATAAGAACAGAAACTATTTGTTTAAATTTGAATAAATTTCATTATAAATGTCGCGTTACAATGGACCGGGAACAGGATCATCACAAACTCAAACCTATAAACTTGTAGTTGTTGGCGGCGGAGGTGTTGGAAAATCTGCAATAACAATACAATTTATACAGGTAATGAAAATATGAGGGGAATGAGTACGACAAGGCGTAACAAGTGGAGGACAGCTGTGTTGTTGTTTTTAATATATCACCTTGCCAAAATTTCAAAAAAAGTGTGTATGTGTATGTGCAAAACATAGTTGAAAAAATCAAACATAAATAATTTATACAAAATGACTAAACTTGATCTAGAAAATCAGCAAACATGACATTACTATTTGAGGAGCATCGCTGCTTACGTCAACTCTCACTATAAGCACCGCCCACGCTTTCAAAATATATTTTTCTCATTTTCCAAATAAAGATGCTTAAATATTGTTTCTTTCAAAAATTATGATAATCTATTTCAAATTAATAACTAATCTGGATATCTGGTAAAAATCTGTTTTAAACATAAACATTCAAATGTAGTGATTATGTTCATCTTATGAAATGGAAAACATTGTTTACGTGTGAAGGCTTTGCACCCTTAGCTTTTTTTATGATTTGCTGTTTAATTTGATTTTTTTTTAGTTTCTACAATTAGAAAATTTAAACAATGCTGTTGTCTGCTGTGTTGCTCTTTTGTTTATTTTTAGTTATTTACGTCATCTGTGAATTGTTGAATTTATTAATGTTTTCTTATTAGAATTTTCAAGGCGTTGTTTTAGTTTTCGAAATTGTTTTGCTTAAATTTCGAAAAAGTAAACAAAAATGCCATAAATTCGTTTAGCGTATCGAAATAGTCGAAATAATCTGTTGAATATGAATAAACAGAGTGGAATTTTCATAATTTTTTATTAGGAATAGAACTTTCTGAGAACTGCAAAAATCTTAAAAAATTACCGAAGCATAAAAACAAAATTTTTTAATATTTAAGATACTTTATAGTTGTCTATTCTTCTTTTAGTTTATATGTACATATATATTTTTCATATTCTTCGAATTTTTTTTAAATTTTCTTATCGCACTTTTATCTACTATAAGTATAAAAAATAAAAACTTGAAAAAGTTGAATCAATTAAAAAACTTCCTCTGAATTGATATTCGAATCCAATACTAATGTTTACACTTCGACTTATCAAACCTCTAGCATATTGTCAGATGTGCTACTGCATATATATGTCGAGTTAAGTAGAATAGTTATGGCATACGATTACAAACTTTAGCTCTTACAGCACTTGGCCATTGCTGTCGTCAGAATTTCGTATTAAAATTCATACAAATCTTTTTCCATATAATTGTTTTTTTTTACCATATATGTTGAGATGTCAATGTAGTTGTAACATGCGACTACATTATATATCAGTGATAAATAAAGACTTGGGATTTTTCTTATTTTTAAATTTTTTTTGTCATAGTTTCCTTGGTGATTTTTACACTTCCTGCAATAGTGACTCAATTTTGTTGAAGAATAGGTATTTTTAAGATCAACAAAATAGTCTTTGGTTGCAGAGATTATGTTCTAAGTTGATTATAACTTTTTTCCAACAAGCCATTGTATCAAATTTGGAACTAAATCAATATGAGATAAGAATTGAATTTAGTATAAACAATAGTTATGACCAATACCTCATGTAATTGAACTAATTTTGTAGCTACAATAGCTGGCGAATAATAACCCGCACCCAATTGCTCAATAATCTGAATAGAACTTTGCGTTACAATGCCATATATACAACATTATGGCGTCCAATATTTTGAAAAATTTTAACGCCCACAATGAATTCAAGGTCCATTCGTTTATTACTTTCTAATTCTATTTTACATTTTAATTTTATATTTTTAATATATTTAATATGTATATATTAAACTACCACGAGATCTAAGATCTCCCTAAGGACTTGTTTAGAAACAAGTTTAATAAAAAAAATAGTAAAAAAACTCGATGAGTCTCTCTCAATAATACAGCTACAAGCACTTCATAGATTGACAGAAATACATAACATAAAATCTAGATATAGATTCACCTATCTAGTATTATTAGGTTTATACGTGGTATATTTTTCATATTATATTTTATTATATTAGATTATTTTTTATATAATAGTGTTGATTTCCGAAAACTAAGTTTCGAGGAATGCTCTGTTAACAGCTTTAATTTGTTGTTATGACGTTTTTGCATCGTTATGATGCGATAACACTGCACCCAGATTCCAGATAATATTCTTAATTAATGAATGTTTAGATTTTGTGGGGTTCGGTTGTGGTTATTATTTAAGTAAATTTAATGATTCTGATTTCATTGAACTGAATCTAAGTCGCTTGATAAAAACATAGAATACTATATAATACTAGTAAATGCTAGTTTACTTTGCTATTTATGGTTCTTTTTTCCGTTGTCAGTTCTATCTAGTACCAGATAACTAATCTTGTCACTGTGTTTCTATTTCATTTTCTGACTGTGAGTTGTGACAGGGATGTAAGTAACTTCTATGTTATGTTACCTATATGATAAGTTATTTGACAAAAAACAAATAAAAAAAAATTAATTTTAGTAATATATTTATTGAAAATAAATTATTTAAAATTATTTATTATTGCTATTAAAATTTCAGAGTTATTTCGTTACTGATTACGATCCAACAATTGAAGATTCCTATACAAAACAATGTGTAATTGATGATGTACCTGCCAAATTGGACAGTAAGTAAATTTAAATTGTTCTAAAAAATAATAATAATCGAATTAATATTTACTTTAGTACTAGATACTGCCGGTCAGGAGGAATTCAGTGCTATGCGAGAGCAATATATGCGTTCTGGTGAAGGATTTTTACTTGTTTTCTCATTAAACGATCATTCCAGTTTTGATGAGATACCAAAATTTCAAAGGCAGATTTTGCGGGTTAAAGATCGAGATGAGTTTCCAATGTTGATGGTTGGTAATAAATGTGATTTGGAGCATCAACGTAGAGTTTCACTGGAAGAGGCACAAAATGTAAGCCGAAGTTTACTTATTCCGTACATTGAGTGCAGTGCTAAACTTCGCATTAATGTTGATCAAGCATTTCATGAACTTGTACGAATTGTAAGAAAATTCCAAATAGCAGAACGACCATTTTTGGAGGAAAGCTATAAAAAGAGAAACAAAAAGAAGTGTTGTCTCTTGTAATTGTTAAAATATTTATAGATCTATTGATTTTTTTTTATTTTTTGATTGATGAAACATATGCTGCCAGACACTTAACTAACAAAAATTAACAAAACATCACCCAGTGATAGGTCAATTCGACAACTATTTGAAAAATTAAAGCATAAAGGAAGCAGCTGGAAATACTCTGCCATTAAGGAATTTAATTTCGACTTATGTGGTTATGTTTAAATTTTATCATACGTATAAACAAATTATAAAATATTTTATAAATTATAAATATCTATAGAAATTTAGCCACCGTGGTCATATAGGGATTTATATACTGTTAAGTCTCATATTCAACCGGTGTTTCTACAACCTACGTTTGATACGATAGTAAATCCATAATGCTTGCCGGCAAATATAAAGGTGTTATTCATCTGTCGTGATACCTTAGTGTAAACAAAAGTAAAAAATCGTGCCTATTGGCTTCTAAAAGAACTAGGATGTATAATATAAATTTACTAATTATGAACTAGGAATTTATCCGCAACCACTTTTTGTGTTGAAAAAACATCCCCATTTGATGTTACGATGTCCTCAACATCTAACATAGTAGCTTTTATTCGAAGAGAATAATGTCTTCTGTTTAGTTAAAGTCGGTTAGAAGCACAATTGATAAACCATAATAGCAATGCTCCGTCGCACTGGGAGCCAGTGCCATGTATATCCACTATTCTATTTTATTTTACTAGATATAATGGATTAGTTAGGATAAGATTTCGAATAAGTTTTCAGAAACCTCCTTTTTAAGTAAATCATTGTATACGTCCATGGAGTGCATGTTTACATTGTACGATCATCGTATGTAAGTCTACCAGTATTCACGATTTTTCCGCACTGTCCTGTTGAATTGAGTTCATTTAAGTAATCAACCCAACAGATCTGACATAACGTGATAAGTTACAATAAACTCTTTAACGCTGAGTGCCATTGGAACTCAATTACGCTATAATTTTTCTGAATTTTATTTAATTAACGTGATATGTATGCTACTCATTGTTGAGTTTTTAACTTATCTATTTGAAACAGTGGTCATCCCACACCTTTAGTTAACGTATTGCATATCATAATAACCTGTTGATCAAAATTAGAATTGGTAATAACACTAACATATTGTATTTATAGGCAGGATCGACTTACTTAAACTCTCGGCTACTTTTTTTAAGGAGCACCAGCTGATTTTCAAACCTACCAATATGACTTCTAGGTTTAATTGTACTGTTAAAATCTCTTGTCTATTAACCTACATATTTTTTGAGCTGTGTTACACAATCCAAAAGGTATGATAATGAAGTTTTCTATCAGGGATCACGAAGACCTGTTAGGAATCCTAGATTTGTCTGCTATTTTGATTTGCCAGTAATTATCCTTCAAATAGAAAAACCTCCCAATATTTGCTAACGAGCATACCGGCTTGCTACCGTACCAAACTGACTACGGCGATACACTTGCTGAAAATGGAACTTTTCAATGCATAATTAGGAATACCAACGAAACATTTCGAATATATTTAACACAAATAAAAACAAATTAAATCAAAACTTAATACATATAAAAAAAAATTCTAAAACAAATTTTAAATTTAATTTAACAAAAGACTAACAAAACGCACCGTAATACACCAATTAATGTTAGAGATTTATAAAAATTGCATTATTTTAACAAATTATTTTAATAATCGTATGTGTATTCTCAATGTTTAAATTGCAAATTATTAAACAAATATAAATAATATATTATATATTTTATAGTAATTAAATTACATTAAAAATATGTTATGCCAAAAGAAATTATATATATTTTTTAATTATTTTTATAATGGATATTTGTAATTTTATGTGAGTTACAAATTAAAAAAGAGAAATAAAATAATAAAACAAATCGAGTGCCTGAAGGAGAATTGCATTACATGCACTAATGCACAAAATGATTATAGAACCATACACCAATAATTTGTTGTATTTTTGCTTTACATATTAATTATATATATATATAAATATATTTGTTAATAAATACCGTATACATACATACATACATACATATATATGCAAAATTATAATGATTAATAATTAAAAATAAGAAAAGATTAACAGCTTTGACATATAAATTTTGTCTGTCATTTTAATGATAATAAATAAATCCTAAAATTGATTTGTTTTAATTAATTTTTTTTAATTAAGATATAGTAAATTTTTAAAAGGTTATTATAGTTTATTATAAAATCTATTATTTGTAAAATAAACAAAACCTCTAAATATATTAAGTTTCCATGCAAGTATTACCCAAAAGTAACACGTTGTAATAGACCATTGCTACTTACGTTTGTGTAAAACGCTTAAAAAATCTTAACAATAATATCACCTCACAGAAAAATGTAGTATTATTATCATTAAGTTTGGTTTTTATGCACTGTGAGCTACAGATCTATAGGATCTACTTTACTGAATCTTACTTCTTAAACCGAAATAGGATGTTCATCTAAGCTAGTGCTGCTTTGAAATATCTTTCCTTTTCCCACAAAACCTGCAATTGCCATTAGAGTAGGTTGCCGGTTTTGAAAGGTTGAATTGTCACCTCACAGTTTTTCTGAACTATATAGTTGTACACAATCGTTAAAATGTTTTAGTCTGAACATTACTATAAGCAATTTTGATTGTTATAGCGCTGGTAGATTGTCGTGGTATAGCTATTCTATAATCTACGATTTAGGTATTCTATATATCATTTTTCTGATTGAGTGAGAAGAATTCCTAAGCAACAAAATTAATCTATATCTTCAAGCAGTGAAACTGCTTCTTTTTGAGCAATTTCGTTGCCGGATATTCCACCCTGTCACATAAAATCCGTGTCGCATTGATCTGGCCTGAGTACTACCGATATCAATAACTATACTTTGTCAACTGAGAATGTCAAACTGCGTTTCATTTCTGTTCAGTAATTTTTGGAAATTTATTATGAATCATTGTTAGAATAATGCTTTCAAATTGTAGAAATTTACTTTGAAAAAAATTAATCTGTTCGCAAAGTTCGTCGAAGAATTGTGTTTAGTGATGAAGCTTATTCCTGATTAAATGCGTACGTGAATAAACAAAATTACAGTATATGGAGCGAAGATAATCCTTAAACCGTTAACGAATCACCATTATATTCATTAAAATTGATTGCTTGTTGCGGTTTATATGCTGGCGGCATCATCGGATCTTATTTCTTTCGAAATGGGGAAGGAGCTGCCGTTACGGTGCATGGTGAGTATTTAATTTTTGTTTTCAAAAATTAATTAGTTCAACATCGACGACATTTGCCATATAGCGCGCTTTACAATCGATTTATTGCAAAATAACTTTATTTCATGAAGTGGTCCTGTTAACTGTAACTGGCTCCCTCGTTTGTGCGATTTAACGCTTATCGATAACTTTTTATGGGGCTATGTTGTCATTGGTTTATGCCGACAAACAGCAACTCCTGAAGTATTGGAAACCAATGTTCATGACAGACTGATCGAATGAACCATGTAACTCGTAACCGCATTAGACATATTCGTAGTCGTAAATCATATTCAAATATAAATGTCATGATATTATCTACCAGATTATAATAAAAAAAATTTCATTTCAATAATATTTCTGCCTTATATTATCATTTTAAGTTCTCACACAGTTAAAAAACCATTCAATATATTCCGTTTTTCAACACACTCCATCATCACTTAAGTTTAGATTTCATTTGATAAGAATTGGGAGCTTTTATGGTTGCCTAGTTATCAGTTAGGATAGTTATTCTATGGTTCTGATAGTTACGTTTAGGATTAAAGTTAACGCTGCTATGTATTGTGTAAATACGATATAGTATAAAAAGAAAAAAAAATTAAAACAGTACCATATTAACCATTAAAAAATCATGAATACTGTAGTACTTCTGTTTTCAGTTATCGATTATGAAAATGGACGAAAATTGAACGAAAATTGCGCTGTTCATAATAATCCTTTTTGATAAATGATAGTGTGATTTTTCAATACACAGAAGTTATGAGAAAGATATTCTTCGTTAATTGAAAGCTTATTTACACTGTTACAAACACCACAGCACCATAACGAATATTTAGTTCTCATTTTTAGAGTCCACTTTCATCAGAAACAATTTTAAAAGGTGAGTTAGAATTAAACTCAACGCCAACTCCCAACGGGATATTTTAGTAACAGTATTAAATATAAGGTGTAATCATGTCGATGCTCAAAGGCGAAACCACTAAAAGACTTTAAAAAGATTATACCATATATCTTGAATTTATTCTTTCTATTTTAAAATTTTGAATATGCCGTCGTGGATTTGGAATATTGTG